GATTTACTTGACGATTTGAGAAAGGAGGCATCCCTAAAGTTCACAGTTCACTAATTTCTGCAAAATGTCTGTAAGTGATTTTAAATATTTGCTAAATAAAATAGGAGATACCAATATGAGAATAGTATATTACATTACGAGTGTGGAAAATCACTTTTCACACAAGTGATGTACAATATTTTTCCTACGACCACAAAATAATGTCATCAAAAAAATGTAAAACCAAGGTTATTATTACTATAATAATTAAAATGTATTTAAAAAAATAATCAACAATAATCGTATTTATTCAATTTTCATATTTTCTAAATAAAAAAAAACTAAAAAAAATAAAAAAAAAATAAAAAAAAATAAAAAAAAACAAAAAAAAAATTCTGCCCCGACAGGATTTGAACCATAGATTGAACGCGGTCGAAAAATGGCAAAATTGATAAGTTCGACGTCCTAAGCAGCTGAGCTAACAGCCCTTGTGTCAATTGAATGATCTAATCGGTTATGTATTTAACCAAAATAAAGAGCAAACATTATTTTAAAATTATTTTAATAATAATTGTTAAAGATAAATATCTAGGATCTAATTTACAACAATTTCAATAATTTAACAATCATATCGATTTTAGTATTAATATGGATATTACATAGATCAAAATAGAAATTAGCTTACAAAATAATATCAAAAAAATGTAAAACCAAGGTTATTATTACTATATTAATTAAAATGTATTTAAAAAAATAATCAACAATAATCGTATTTATTCAATTTTCATATTTTCTAAACAAAAAAAACTAATAAAAAATAAAAAAAAAAACAAAAAAAAATTCGGCTCCGCCAGGATTTGAACCATAGATTGAACGCGGTCAAAAAATGGCAAAGTTGATAAGTTCGACGTCTAAACCAACTGAGCTAATGGGCCTTACGTCAATTGAATGATCTAATCGGTTATGTATTTACCCAAATTAGAGAGCAAACATAATCTTAGTTATTTTAAAATTATTTTAATAATAATTGTTAAAGATAAATATCTAGGATCTAATTTAAAACAATTTCAATAATTTAACAATCATATCGATTTTAGTATTAATATGGACATTACATAGATCAAAATAGAAATTAGGCGTTTGACATTTTTTGACAACTACTGCGGAAAGTAACATATTCTCACTTGGGTGGAAAGTAAATTCTTAGTCATACGCGTGTGATATAGGACACTTTCCATAGGACTATATAGTGTGATATGTGTCACTTTCCTAAGTGGTCGTAGGAAAAGTATATATCGGCTCAGGAGCCTCTTAGCGGTTACCCTTCGGTTTCTTGCCACAGGAGACAGTTATCAAAGTCTGTCATATTTGTTTACATTTTCCGCCCAATTAATTTCATCTATCGCACCAGAAGTTTGTTAGGCTATAATTAATAATATGTCGTTGTGGGTCCTTAGAAAGTTATTGTCTCCATATAAATACTAGATAATCGGAAATATAGATCTTTTATTATTATATACAAAAATTAAATATTTATTAATACTGTTCAAAATACAAAAATAAAATGACTTTTCTATAGCCGCAGAACATTAATGGTTTTATAAGATAAGTAAGTCTGATGACTGAATAAAATAATCTACTAATGACATTGGCTCGCTCAGTACATCAGGTGAAAGGACAGCAAGACGGAGAAAGCTGATCTGAAAGCTTCTTTGGCTCGATGGACGTTGATTATTGTCAATTTCGCGAGGTTACTGTATAATTACCATAATGATTATTGTATAATTATTTATTTGTAGTTAAAGCAAAGGCCTGAGGAATGGCTGGATGTAGCGAGGACATTTGATGCTCTATGGAATTTTTTGCATTGCTTGGGAGCCCTGGAAAGCAAAAACATTTTAATTCAACCGCCTTTTAACAGTGGCTCCGAATTTATTAATTACAAGCACCAATTCAGTATTGTTTTGATGGCCGTCCTGGATGATCACTATTGCTTTCTACATGGAGATGTAGAGTGCCAGGGCAGGATAAGCAATGCAGTGGTTTACAAAAAATACATCACTGTATTAGAAAATTGTCTCAAATAAAATACTTTTCCCACCACCTGCAGCCCTGCGTGGACGGCTTCCCGTGTCCTACGTGCTTGTGGCAGACGACGCTTTTCCGTTGACTAACCGCCTATTGAAACGTTTTCCGGATGTCATCCAAAAGTAAGCAGGGAACGAATTATTAATAACCATCTGTCACGGCAAGGCAAATAGTTGAAAATGGCTTTGGCATAGTGTATCAGTCTTTCGTGTATTTAGAAGTCCTATGATGCTTCAACCGGATAATGTGGCTACAATCACGATGACTTGTGTATTATTATACAACTTTTTACCACCAGAAACTTTTGATAGCGAACAAGATGGGCAGTTGGTAGAGGATACGTGGAGAAACGAAGGCATAAGTAGCAACTGCTGTCTCAAACTCAAGAAAGAGTAGGTCAAAAACCTACCATTGAAGCGAAACAAATTCGACAGGAATTCGCCGAGTATGTTTCATCAAATGGGAAAGTATCTTGGCAACATTTACATGCATGGCTAATAATTGTATATGTAGATACAGGACATTCCAACGAGAACTGAACACAGGCTTATTGTTGATCTTGCCTGTATCCATGGCGTATGTCATTTTTTGTTTGTTTTTGATTGAAATATTTTACTGGTGCAGTTTTAGAATTCTGCAGAAAAAGGCGCATCTAAGGCTATTTTGTTTTTTTTTTTTTTCATACAAGAAAGGTCAAGAATAAGCCGCTGTTCAATCCTCGTTGGAACCCTGTAGTGTGCAATAAAATGTTAAATAAATAAACTGTTTTACTTACATCAGAATTAATTGTTGATCTGCACCTCCCTATTTTGTTTAAAAACGCGTCCCTAATTATTGTATTCGCTCCGTGCGCGACAGCAGCGCCAATTAGTTTTGTACTAATGGACTATTTCTGCGTATACTGACAAATACAAGTTTCAATAGCATTCGTAAATAGAAAAGTATATATGTTAGTTTTAATAAAAGTATATGGATTTGTAAAACAATAATTTTTTATTATTATTATATATTTTTATCGCTTAAATTAAAGAAAATTATGTATAATCAATAAAAATCAATAAAAAAATATTGGCAGGCAACAGTATTTACTGGAAAATGTATGAGAAGTTGCCTAAGTCTAATAAGGTGTCATTGAAGAATTAGCCTATTCTGTCAAAATAAAAAAATACCATTTAATCTTTGAATATAAAACCCCAGGAAGGAGCAATGTGCATATTTGTAATGACAGTTATTTTTTATTTTATTGTTTTACTCTTATATTCTTTTTTTTATGTTTTATTGACAAAAGAATATGCGCCTGATGTGATTATCACGTCAAAGAAAAAAATGTATTTTTACTTTCCTATCTGTATACAGATATATTACTTTCCTATCTGTATACAGATATAAGGAAAGTATAGGAATCATGATTTTTTTCGACCTCGAGTTTTCGACGGATTTTTACGTTTTGAGGTCCCCTGAATCCGTTTTGACTATTTTCGCGATGATGTCTGTGTGTGTGTGTGTCTGTGTGTGTGTGTGTGTGTCTGTGTGTGTGTGTGTGTGTGTGTGTGTGTCTGTATAACGCATAACTCATGAACCGATACACGGAAAAACACCAAATTTTAAACTTAAGCTTTATTCCAGCGTCTAATGAGCTGATTAGATTTTGGGCAGAGTCGGAACATCTGGGGGGGTACTTTATGGGTGGTCATTTTTATATTTTATGGAATATATCTGTTATTTACGTTTGGGGAAGAAAATTTTTTAAATAAAAGTTACTTCTTATTTTATTATCTATAATTTTTGTCATTTACAAAATTTTCCTAAAATGGTCCGTATTCGAGAAATTTGACAAAATGTAAAAAAATATTTTTTTTTATAAAAATTGTTCAAACAAAAGTTGTTTGCAATATAATTCTCTATAATTTTTGTTCCATAGATAATTTCTCTAAAATGGGCCGTATTCGAGATATTTGAGAAAATGTGTAAATTTCAAAATTTGAAGAAAACTCAAAAACGGATAAAGAAAAAATTAATAAATTTTAAACTTAAGTTTTATTTCGGCCTGGCGTGAAATGATTAGATTTTGGACAAAGTCGGAACATCTGGAGGGGTACTTTATGGGAGGCCGTTTATATATTTTATGGAATATATCTGTTATTTATGTTTGGAGAAGAAAATTGTTCAAATAAAAGTACTTCTAATATTATTATCTATAATTTTTGCCTTATGTAAAAATTTCCTGAAATGGTCCGTATTCGAGAAATTTGACAAAATGTGCAAAATTCTAATTTTTATGAAAATTGTTGAAATAAAAGTTGTTTGCGATATCGATCTCTATAATATTTGTTCATACATGATTTTTTTTAAATGGACCGTAATGGAAAAATTGTAGGAAAAGTGCTAAATTTAAATTTTTCAGTATTTTCATTTTCAATGAATATCTATAGAAAAATGTTTCGCGGTAGATGTATGTGGACAATGTATATATATTTAGTTTATCTTCTAAACATTTATAGAGATGCTGCAATAGGTTGTACACAATAAACGGAAAAAGCCTGTAATAACTAGATAGGAAAGTCATGTGTTGGACACATCAGATTTTTTTAATATTAATTTATTAAAGATATTTTAAATAAAATCAAGATTTTCTTTGATTTTAGCTTTCCTAAAAGTGGTCAGAATAGAGAGAAATGGATTGCAGGGCCGCCGAGAGCCAGGTCAGGCTCCGGGAAATTTTTCTAGGTCGGGCCCCGCGACAATTTTATAAAAAATTAGGCCCCTTCAATATCACATTCCTAAAAAAAAGGTCTTCCTCTTGTGCTCTTGTGGCTGCCGGTACCCTACTTGAGCCGGGGCTCCGGGAATTAGTCCCGGCTAACCCTCCCCCCTCTTGTTGGACCTGGTGGATTGACTTTGTAAACAAACCAGGATGGATGCCATAGCTAGTAATGTTTTATGTTCACAACATTTTAGTGATGAATGTTTTGATCGAACATCCCTGGAAACAGTATTTAGTCGTAAGGTTTAATTATATTAAAAATACACAAAAAAAACTTACCTATGTAAAATTGGACTTTATATCTAATTAAATGTTTATTTTAACTTGTAGGTGAGGACATTTAACCCAGATCACACAAAAACTGTAAAGAATGTGGATAAAAATATATTTTCAGTTCTTAAAAATAGTTATCAATGTACCCCAGCTGTACCAGGTCCATCTAAATATAGTGATACCTTGGCGATGATTCCCACATCTATTCGGTTACGTACTCCTTTACCCTCTCCAGGCAAGTCATCTACATGTGAGACAACTGTGGATACATCCCGCGAAAGAATTTTGAAAAGGAAGATTTGTGAATTGCAGCATAATGATATTATAAAAAACGTTAAAATTAGAGAATTGCAAAAGAAAATTTGGCGACAAAAAAACAAATTTTATCTTTAAAGTGCATAATAACAGAGTTAAACAAAAAATAATTTAATGTTGCAAGAACAAGAAAAAAATTTATTGCAACATTTTGGAGGAAACACCGAAATTATTAAAAGACTTTTTCAAAAAACTCAAAAGAAAAAAGTAGGTAAAAAGTTTGACCATTCAATAAGATCCTTTGCAGTAACATTGCATTTATTCTCCCCAAAAGCATATAACTTTGTTACAACTAAATTTAACAACTGCTTGCCTTATCCTAAAACTTTGGGTAAATGGTACTCTTCAGTTGATGCCCAGCCAGGATTTACTTCGGAAGCATTTGAGTTTTTAAAATTAAAAGTAAAGCATTCCAGTAAAACTTTGTATTGGTCGCTTGTGTTTGACGAAATTTCAATTAGAAATCATTTGGAATTTATTTATTTCATAAACTTGTCTAAAATATTAAATAAAGATACTTATCTCCTGAATTATTTTTGTTTTCTTATTTTATTAACGCACTGTAGGGGGGGGGGGTAGCCGGGACTAATTCCCGGGGCCCGGGCTCAAATGGGGGCCCAACAGCGCTATAAGGGGGGCCCGACAATAGGGTTTTCTGTTTCTGCATGAGAAATTCGACATAAGAAGAGAAAGGGGAGGTGGGAAAAGTTTTAGCTTATTAGCTTAGAGGGTTTTTTTTCTCGACTGAGGACTTTTTTTTAGAAGAAGAAGTAATTGAAGTAGGGAGAAAATATTTTTTTCGAGGTGAGGACCTTTTTTTTTTAGAAGAAGAAGCAATTGAGGTAAGGAGAAAATTTATTTTCGAGGTAAGGACCTTTTTTGTAGAAGAAGAAGTAATTGAAGTAGGGAGAAAATATGTTTTCCGAGGTGAGGATTTATTTTTTTTTTTTTTTTGAAAACGAAAAGTTTGTTTGTGACAGGGCCCGATGTAGAGAATTGTCCCGGGGCCCGGCCTGGCTCTCGGCGGCCCTGCATATATTGATAAAGAATGAGGTAAGCAGAATTATTAATAGAGAATAACTTCTTCATAAAATCAATAATAAAGTTATTCCCCTAACTCCATTCAGGGACACTTTATATGTATATAAATTAGATAATCGTTTATTAAGTAATAGATTAATGTAAAAATTAAAAACTTTTGGAGGTTATTATTGTTTTTAAAATTAAGTAAAATGGTTTTTATTTCATATTAAAAGTCAAATAATAGGACTCAAGAAACTAAATACCCTTTCCATTTAGGTTCAATTCCAAACTACATTTTAATGTCTAGAAAATAATTTAAAAAATTAAATTTCTACTACCAATTTCAAAATATATTTGCTCAATTTTTTAATATTTTATTAGTAAAATAGTTTTTATTTTTATTCTTTTAATTTGGAAAAAAATAAGTACAAATTAATAATTTTGGGGCATTTCGGACACATCAAAACCTGCAACTAGTCCCGGTCATTAAGTTATGGTTATAAATAATATTATTAATAATAACATAAACGTTTATCCTATTAAGATGTGTTTGTCTTTAATTTTGAATAATTATCGCACGCCTCTGTCAAAGCGGAAATGATCGTCCGCCATATTGAAGGGCCAACTCGTCAACTATTACTTTTAAATCAGCTCCTTCCTGGGGTTTTATATTCAAAGCATTTAATAATAGCGTGAAGTTACAAGTATTAGAAATTAAAAATTTAAAAAAACCTACTTCAAAAACGTGCAGATGCCATCACCACATCTTAACCAAATTTATATGGGACCACCCCTGAAGTAGCCCCTTTCTAACACAAAATTATTGAAATCGGACACCGTGTTAAATAATTATCGCTAAACATACATTAAAACAAAAAAAAAATATCGCGACGAATTGAGAACCTCCTCCTTTTTTGAAGTCGCTTAAAAATGTATAAAAAAGGAAAGGATCGTTATTTATATTTTCATTTTTGTTCGAAAGAAAACATAGATTAAAGCTGGTTTCCCATCAGTAGGCCACAAAATTGCATTCCAGCCACATATAATAATCAAAGGCAGAAATCTTGAAATCTAGTCCTTGCTGAATGAACATTTAAGAATAAAGGGATATTAAAGAACATCGTAAAATTATAATTTATTGTTTATATAAAACCTTTCAAGTTTCTGATGTCTACTATTTCCAGCATTACTGTTATTATTACAAAAAATAAAGGTAATTTTTCTTCTCACCTACCTATCCATTTATTTCTTTGATTTAATTTCCACTTTGCTACTGAAATGTTTTATATAAGTTACACTGTTTTTTTTGTTAGTATTTGTACAATTTTCAACACAGCAACTCCGGTTGCTTATTGTATTGTTTTTACCTACTTTTTTGAAAAAAAGTAAAATGTATACGTGTATTTGATATGCCAAAATTACAAAATATCGTCCTAAAATGCACGAATTATCCGCAGCTAGCGCTAGTATCGCTTTTGCTTCCCTTTCCATGACTTCGCACGGAACGAATAGGCAAACCTTGATGGCTTGTATATGTCGTCAGTTCCTGCTCCAGATTTCTCTAACTTAACTTGCTTTTTTAAGCCTCTATGAGTTGCCATTAAAGGCCCCTTTTTCTTCTTTAATGCTTCAACTGTACATGCATCGGAAACCATATTTCTGTTTTCACGGTTTGTAAGTTATGGATCCCAAATAACGGGATACTTTTATACAAATTAAGAAATTCCATAATTATTTCATTGTTCCAGTTTTCAGTCGTTTCTGCTAAAAAAAAACAACAATAATTGACAATAAGAAATGATGTTATTAAATGTACTTCTACAATACTTTACCGTGCACGAAACTTTTTCAAAGGATACCAGGGAAACTATTCAAACAGCGCACTAATATAATATGTGTACGGCGATTATGAAGACTAGAGATAAGGAGACGAATCAGCATACTCAAAATACGGTCCCAAAAAACGCATGCTAATTAAGCTTCTATAATTAACCACATGGGCGCTGGTACAGCATACGGTGTTCAAAATACATGGCTTCTTATGGGAATTATACATAATTTTGTCAAAATAATAAAAATAAACTTGTTTATAGCTAAATAAAGCACAGAACATACTGTTTTATTTATTTCTAGTCTTGCATGTTTTAATTGATAAATTATTTAATTTTATATAAAATATATATATATATATAAAATACAAATTAGGTATGTATGACCAAATTCGAAAGGTTTCTTAAATGCTGAAATTTGATGAGTACAATTTTGTGGCAACATTTTTTTTGAATTGAACCAATATATATATAGTTTTAAGAGTAATATAAAACACAGTTAATAGATTTTTTATTGTTGTAATACAAGTATAAAGGGAATGTACATGGTATTACCTCATCCTTTAATTTTAACTTTCCCCTTTTTATTTTGCTAACAGTACCATCAGTAAAAATAGTCTCATAATATTTCATATCTTCTAAAAAGTATAGAACAGCATCATCTCTAGAAAATGCTTTATCGGCACTAAGAACGATATACAGTATGGTTCAAATGAAAGGAATAAATTTATTATAATGGAAGTAGTTAGTTTTTCGAAAAAATGTTCGGACAGGTCAATTTTGTTTACTCAAAGCGGAATTTTTTAAATAGAATTCAATTTTCCCCCACTTCACATTTTTGGGCAGTGACGTCATTGACAATTTTTTTAAATAGTAACCCCAATTTCTTTTTCTTGATTTTGATAGATCTTGCAATTTCCTACTCGGAAACATAATATTTGAAATATCTTACATAACAATTTTTTTTGAATAAAAGACAGTTAAAGATCAGACACATAAATTTTATTTTATTTTGAGAACACAATAAATTAATAAAAGATAATTATTTGTAATTAAGTGCTTAATCTAACAAAACAATTAATAATAATAATAATAAAAAAGAATTTGTGAAATTGTCATTAAATTCTTTTTATTATTAATATTATTATTTTTTAGCAGTAAACAGTAACAACTCTTTATCTAACATTAAAACTCTATAAAAAATAAATTTTCTTTTTTAGTAAGTTAAATTTAATGCATAATTATTGTTGTTTGTAAGTCAGCATCTATGACTGTAAAATTTTATATTATAGAAACTTGTAATAAAATAAACTACACTTCGTAAGATACATATTGTGACTAGTTTAGGAAAAATCCGCCAACAGTCGAACGGGCTATTTTTTTTAGACCATTTTAGATCCTCTGAAACACATTTTAAAATACTTTTTTTGCCCTGCAAACGCCTTTAAAATATTTTTTTCTTACCTTAAAACTTTAAAATGTTGAAAAAATTTGAACTACATCATTTTGAATATTTTTTTGTTATAGAAACTGCTAAATAATAATACTAGACCATCCATAAAGCAATAAACCATTCCAAATTTTTTCATGGACAGTTTATTTTCTAAATTTACGACCAGTTAAAGTTCGTCTAATTTTCATGAACCCAATGGCAATTGACATTGCAGTGTGACATGTGTCTAAAAGAAATACAATGTTGCCATATCCATTATTAGATAGCATTTTTACCTATGCCCTGTGTTGTACCAGGCCAACCAATTGACTTCAGTATCAGAAAAATTATATAAAACTAACGATTTAAAAAATACCCATATCAAGATCTTCTTCCTCATCCTTATCGGCAGAGTACTCTTCGACGTCAATAGGAAGACGAAGGAACGACTTCTTGTAGGGTACCACCGACATAGACTCCAACGGCCTGGACACAGCTCAAATTAAAAAAAAACAAGTATTTTTTACAATAGATAGATAAATACCGACATGCCGTAATTAACGCACAATCATCATGAAATAACCTAATCTAACCTAACCCAACCTTACCCCAACCTAACCCAACCTAACGTAACCTAAACGAACCTAACCTAACCAACCCTCACTAGCATCTCGAACGTGTCTTTATCGTGGGCATCTAATAACAAGAAAATATAAAATAAGACGAAGCAACGACGGCTCCGCCGCCACCAGAAAATTTTAACCTATACCTGGCTACGCCGACCGGCATAGACT